TGCTCGGAGGGCTCCGTACAAGGCCAGCAAAAAGCTGCTCCTTAACTCCCCGCATCAGGTGACGCAACTTCTTTTCTTCTGTCATGCTTGGATCGGCCCGTCAGAACAGGCGCGTCATATCTTCCACATAGGTCGTGACAGTTTCGTTGGGCATCTGGATGCGGGCCTGGAGCGCTCGCTCTGCTCGTTCGTGGCGATCAGCACTTCTGTAAGTGTCCAACAGCCGGCGGCGGAATTCGGGCCACGATGTCATCTGTTCCTCGTGATTCATGTACCAGGTACGTGCTCCATCCTCCAAATAGAAGTACACACGCCGTAGTTTGGCCACGTCGTTCCAGTCGTTCAAAGCAGCCACGCGTTCGAAGTCGACCAACCAGTCCTCGACGTCTTCGAGCTCGGTGAGATGAAACGGTGTCGGAACCTGTGGATTTTCGAGGGTGTACCGAGTCACGGGGGGTTTCCCGTTCCTGTCAAAGTGGTTTGAACGGACGTGCTCATCATACTGGTGTGAACTGTAGGGTCAGCTTCGGGTGGCAATCCCCTGATCCTGCGGCTTGTCCGATGAACGGGAGTGTGGACTCGCACTGGGCTTGTGGTGCCGCTTCCAGGAGGTGTCTGAAACATCCGTGAGGGGCTACCCCGCACCTCCACCAATTGTCACGTCGCTCCAGGGGGTGTCGACAAGGTTTATTGATGTCCAAGCAACAGGGCTCTAACCAAGCGCGTCGGTTGGGCTTGTTTACCAAAGTGGGGGGGGGGGGGGGTACACGCGCACTTCTTTCTTTTCTGTGGTGTGAGCCTTCACCTTGGCATACGACCCCCTACTAGAAGTAGGTGGCAATATATATATATATATATATATATATATATATATATATATATATATAATAATGACATCTAACAGACAGTACTGCCAAGGAATGTATAGGGAAAGTTATGAGAACAAATGTAATGTAAATAGAAAGAAAGAAAAGTGGGTGAAAAAATATCCAGCCGTGAGCAGGAATTGAACCTATGACCTTCTAATAACGCGTTCGATGCTTTTACCACTGAGCTACCACAGCGGCCTTTCCTCCATCCACGTTTGTTGGATTTATATGTGAATTTTAGAAGTAGGAGTGTCAGTCAGCGCCATCTATAAATGTGGATGGAGGAAAGGCCGCTGTAATAGCTCAGTGGTTTGAGCATCGAACACGTTACTCGAAGGTCGTAGGTTATATTCCTGCTCACGGCTGGTTATTTTTTCGCCCACTTTTCTTTCTTTTTATTTACATTACATTTGTTCTAATAACTTGTCCTATACATTCCTTGGCATTACTGTCTGTTAGATTTCATAATTATTGTATCAAAACACGGAAAAATGAGCCCTTAGGTACACAATTTTTCCCTTATTCATTCACGAGGGTCTCGTACTGGCAGACTTGGTGTCATTAGGTTCTATACGAGGCACTATTGGTCAGCTGCCCGCTCTTAATAAGTTCACGTGCTACGTGACGCCACACATGCGCATAAAAGGGTGTTTCACAGTCGCCGCTTGTCTTATAGATGGCGCTGACTCACACTCCTACTTCTAAAATTCACATATAAACCCAAAAAAGTGGAAGGAGGAATGGCCACTGTGATATCTCATTGGGGAGAGCATCGAACGCGTTATTCGAAGGTCGTAGGTTTAATTCCTGCTCACGGCTGGTTATTTTTTCACCCACTTTTTTTGTTCTTATTTACACTCCATTTGTTTCAACAACTTCCCCTATACAATCCTTGGCATTAATGTCTGTTAGATATCATAATTATTGTGTCAAAACACGGAAAAACGAGCCCTTAGGTATACACTTCTTTCTTATATATATATATATATATGTATATTTATTTATTGAAAGAAAGTGTAAAATGCTCGTTTTCTTTGTTAGACAGAATATACTGATGAGAGAGGGAGAGCGTGAGACAGCATAAGAGACTTTTTGCCTTCTCCAATCACGAATGAGTTGGTACGTCACTGCAAGGTAGTCAAGTATTGTGCTACAGATCAACGTTATTGCTTCGAACTGGTTTCAAGCACGTCATATAGAAGGGTCAATACAATCCACATTTTCATAACAATGGTATAAAGTTTACATAAGCACTGCTGTACCTCTGGGCATACAAGCAGTGCTCGATTCCACTGGCAACTGCTGCTTAGAAATACGAAGATCACCGCGCTGTGAAGCAAGCTTCTTTGCGACGACACAGGCGTACGTTCTGTAACCTAAGTGACAGTATTAGGGCGCTCCATCAGCCACGCTTGATACGCCAGTGTAGTCGACGTACCTGGTAATCTCATAACAAGCCTACCACTGGTTAGTTTGTGCAAATACGTTGATCCAACTTGTAGTATTTGGCACAAAGCCAAGAGACATGCGCTGACTGCTTGCTAATAAACCGATTCCCACAATGCGTGGGATATAGTGGATATGTCCACAATGGAGAAATAGTGTCAGCAGCTCTCAAAAAGTGACTTAGTGACCAACGCCATTTGATGCTAGAAGTCGTTCTGGCCCAGCAGGGATGCCGCCTTCATGATGTTTCCATGCGCCTGCTGTTTTAGGCCACGGCATTGAGCCACAAATTTTGGCTATTCATTTAACATGTGTCAGCACACGGTTATCGGCATAATGCGTGATTGCTTTTATAGCTCCCGTATCAAAAGCAAGTATATTTGCGAATTTTAGTGGTCATGGCACTCACTATTCTTCGTCAGAATATTGATCAGTTTTTTTGTTTTCAATTTTACCATACTAAAGGGACATTGCATGCGGTTTAAAACTTAGCTACAGTTTTTATGTCATGGAGCATGCCATACATAGGTTCCACTATCGACTACTGTTCTAATAATGAATTATAGAGACAGAGGTAAGGTCCTGTAAAACAATGCATCTGGAGGTGAGCGAAAAACCAAGGAATCATTGAGGCTGATGGGAGGTGGAGACGACGAGTGTGTTTTATTTTGGGGCGCGTCACATGAGAAACAAGGCGCGTGGGCCTGTGCTTGCACCTGAGTGCACCATAATTAGTAGGCGACAGATGATGACAATGGCCGCTAGTGGCCTCCTTCCATTTATAAGATGGAAAGGGATGCACTGACATCCACGAAACAGCCTTTCGATGTGAGACAATCGGCTAAATCTTGCGTTTCAGCGATGACAAATAGGTTGAAAGTATGTAACTTTGGCGTTGTTGCAGTGTAGGCAGGCTTGCCTCTGTCGATTGCTCTTTACGTCTATTGAGCTCGATGAACACAGATTCGAATCAGCTGAGCACCTTGAATGGGCCGCCGTAGAGAGGCTGAGGGAAGGTCAGGTACCTTGAACCAGGCGAAACACTTGCCTCGCTGAGGTGATGTACTTGCTGACAAAAACGTTAGTTACGATGTATATTTGACTAGCGCCGGGAGGCAGCTGTGAGGAAAGGAAGCGGAGATGCTGCACGCGCTTCTCCGGACCCAGCGTAGTGACAGTAGCAGGCGCGAAACGTTCACCAGTTATAAAAGTAATGTTGCAACATGTACCAACTCCGTAGCTGCACAGCCGAAAACTTCCATGAAAGATGAGCCCATGCCAAGCAGCAAAAGGGGAAGATCTTCAGCCCATGACGAACGAGCTCGACGATCCATCAAGGTGGCTTTAAATTGATGATGAAGACGTTCAATTTTACCATTTGCCGATAGTTGGTACATGGTAGAATGAATATGGCGTACGGCAAGCAGGCACGTCAGTCGCCCAAAAGATCGCACTCAAACTGTCCGGTGCTATGGTGGTAACAACGTGGGGGCAACCAGAGCGTGGGATCCAGTTCTACCAGGGACGGACGCTGAAGCCACGGTAACTAACAAAAGAAAAGTACACAGCGCTAAACTCACAGCTAAATTTATTTCGAAAAAAGAACACATATAGAAAACAAGAATTAGTCAGAACTGCGTATATGCGCAAAAGTTACAACACCACAGGATTCACGTCTTGTCTAGAAAATAGTTACATACCTGAAAGCACTTCATGGATGACTTATGCAATAATTATTGAATTTAGGCCAAAATGCTTCGGCGATTTAACGCGTGGACCGATGAACATGTCGCGTCGAGATAGATGTTGGGCGGGAGATATTGCATCAAGCTTGAACTCGCGTGTCAAACAGTCTCATACCCTTGCTAGTCACACTGTGTCCAAGGAACTCGGTGTTTTCTACAGAAAAGACACAATTCGTTGGCTTGATGAGAAGGCCGTGGTCCTGGATCCGAAAAAAATAGGAGGCGCAAATGGTTGCAGTGTTTGGGGGAAACATTACCTAACAAAAGGTCGTCTAGGTATGAAAATATAAAGGCTAGTTCACGGGTTACTTCGTTGATAAACCTCTGGAGCGTGTGAGCAGCATTCGACAACCCAGGCGGTATGTGGACGTGCTCTAAAAGCCCAAATGATGTCACAAATGCAGTTTTCGGGATGTCCATTGGCTCTACCTTTAAAATGTCTACTTTGCTGGAAATCACCACTGCCACGAGGTTGGTTGCGAAGTCGTGAATGTAGAAAAGGGAATAGCAATCAGGTACCGTGCACTCATTGAGAGTACGGTAGTTGCTTCGTGAGCGCCAATCACAATTTGGTGTCATGTGGAGGTCTAGCTATCAACTTCTCGACGAAGAACGAATGATGCCTAGTTGTAGCGTGAGGCCAAGTTTGATTATGGCGATGACAAGGTGGTCCCTAGCGTGGCGTGTAGGGAGCTAAAATATTAGACGGCCAGTTGTGATAACATGATGCGTGACGTTGTGACTTACTGGCAGCTCAAGCTTGAAAGATGCATAATGACCGGAAAGCCTGAAAGAATTCATGCGAACATAAATGATGGTATTTTTGGTTTCCTTTATGCCATATTTCTATGCTAGACATCTATCTGAACGCAAGAGAGCGTAAAAAAATTCACGGCTCTGGTTCACAAGTCAACTCGCAAATTTTTTACGTTTATTTCAGTGCCACCCAAGCCAGCCAAATTGCAAGAGTGGTTGCACCTGCTTTTCGTTCTTTTTCTCCGATTACATTGGTGCCTGTCTCAACGCAAGTATTTCTCGACCATGGATGTTCCGCGCAATAAGAGGTACTCATGCTGAGTAAACGTACACCATTCGTTGGCAAAGTTTTGTTCCAAATAAAAATCGCTGCATTGTAACGTGTCTTCATTTACGTCACTTTCGAGGAGAAACGAGGCTAAGGCCTGCTGACATGGGTATCATGAGCTCCACCATTGGCACATCCTGCAGAACTGAGTTACCATACGCTAAGCGGCCGAGTCATGGTAGCGCATATGATACCACATCGTTACGGCCGCTCGATGGAGGCGGAAATGCTGTAGTAGGCCCATCGGCTCAGATTTGGGTGCACGTTAAAGAACTCCAGGTGGTCAAAATTTTCGGAGCGCTCTACGACGGCGTCTCTTATAATAACATGTTGGTTTTCAAATGTTAAATCCAACATATCATCATCATCATACCATTGGCCACAAGATTGAGCAGAGTCATCACCTGGCGTCAACGGGCCGAAGAGGTGAAGTGTGGATTGCTCTGTGTGTCATCTTCTAGCCTCGTCATCTTTCTATGTGCACGTACATCATGCACATTCTCAAAGTAGGGTTTGCCCGGTCATGTCAGCGCAAGTGTAACTGTTTCTACGTATGCCTGAAATGACATACGGAAATATTTCGTCTTGCTCAGCTGGAAATGCATTGTATTGAGACCGGCAACTGCCACTTTTTAAAGTGCTGTTTACGGCAGTTGTACCTTCTATACTCCAGAATATTTTCGGAGTGTCTGCCGCTTTCTGTTTCCAGCAAATCGGAAAATGCTCTTGGACTCCTATCAGTCATGAGGACTATTAAATGGTGTGTGAATGCAGCGTTCTTTTTGCGACTTGGTTGGAAAAAAACACAAAAAACAGGCTCTGAGCCATGTACTTGCGCGCTATTGGTAGCTGTACAACTACGGCACTGTAGTTTATCGATCGTGCGAGGAGCCTTAGTTGTGTTTATCTGGCCGTGGTACCAATACATAAAAGTATTACTATCTCGTGAGCTGTGACACAACAGTACGTAAACTGTGCTTAAAAATGAGTTACCGTGCACTACCGGGTGCTTATATTATTAAAAGTGTCCAGACGTTGAAAAACTGTTCAGACGGCATGTCGAAGGATTTCACAGCAAATTTCATCTTTATTTATACGTCGTTTTCAGCGTTTGTATGCCATTGTGAGTGACCGACTGAAGGCAGTGGTAATTTTTTGTCTAAAAAACATGCTTGTCCCATTGACCAGGCCTTCGTTGTAGCACTGTCAAGCAAGTAATCTATTGATGAAAGCTTTCTGCTGACTCCTATATAGGATTTTTGATATTTTTACTGGCGCAAGAACATGCGCGTACACGTGGTAAACGCAGTGTAGCTTACAGCGCCGTCAGCCACTAAGCTTACCTGACTAGACTTATTGACTGTACCACATTTTATGGTGAACAGAATGGCAGAAAGAAAATCATTTGCGTAAAAGGTGGGGAAGGTGGTACTGAGCTAATTCCACAGATATGCAGGATTTCTAAAATCTTTTTCTTTCTTTTTGTAGTATTAAGTGACAAAGATGTATATAAGTAGTTCAGCCACGCTAAAGCAGTGCGTAGCAGGCGGAACACAACAACACAACCTAAGCACGTACAAAGAACGCTGCGAAGGCGTGAAGGCCTAATAGCGATTATATATATATATATATATATATATATATATATATATATATATATATATATATATATATATATATATATATATATATATATGACGTATGAAGGCATGGTAGAAGCCGATGAAGAAGTGGCTGAGAACGGAATAAACATGGGGTATGAGCCAGGCCACGTCGCCCATTCATCATGGCGTCACGTGTATATATATATATATATATATAAATATATATATATATATATATATATATAGAGAGAGAGAGAGAGAGAGTCATGGTGGTTGAGTGGCCGTAGCGTTGCATATATTCAAGTAGATCCTCCGTGAGCGGTCACAACGTGCTTTATTTTGACGTTCGGCCTAGTGTCTGCCCTTCATCAGAATTCATCACTCTAACCTTCATCCTAATGAAGACCAGACTATAGGCCGAAATGTCGAAATAAAAACCACGTTGCGACCGCAACGTGGTTTATATATATATATATATATATATATATATATATATATATATATATATATATATATATATATATATATATATATATATATATATATTATGAAGTCTTGGTTTGGAAGACCTTTATTAGGCCCGAAGAACCGGCAGCCGACAGCTGAGATGATCGGACCAAGATGATGATGCTACGCGACAACGATGGGGATGCATGAGCCACACATGATAATGATGATAATGTACCGGTGAAGAGGATGCGTATACTAAATGCCCACATCAATTCCCTCCACGTGAAAGCGGCCAGCCTGGCCGCGTCAAGTCAAGGGGACAAAGAACGTCGCATGAAGGGCTTCATACGGGAGACATGGACGACCTCTGTAGTTCGATAACGGCGATCTGCTGGGGCTACAAGTGGCGTCACGCGATAATTCACTGGTGAAGTCTCTTCAAGAACTGTGTACGGTCCAATAAACCGAGGCTGAAATTTGTCGCACAAACCAGGTGTGCGAACAGGCGTCAAAAGGAGCACTTCGTCTCCAGGTTGGAAGAATACATCACGATGCGATTCATCATAAACTAGCTTTCTGTCTTCCTGGCGGGCTTCAGTGTTTATACGAGCTCGTTGGCGGCACTGTGCGAGTCGTGAAACGTATTCCTCTGAAGAGGATGGAGATGAATTCACTTGGCAGGTAAAGAAGGAGACGTCCAGGAAAGTAGTAGGGGAGCGTCCATAAACTAGGTAAAATGGCGAGTAGCCGGTTGTTCGCTGAATGGCCGTATTGTAGGCGAAAGTGACGAATGGGAGAACAACGTCCCAGTTTTTGTGGTCTGGTTGAATATAGGCGGCGATCATGTCAGCAAGAGTGCGGTGGAATCGCTCAGTGAGGCCGTTAGTCTGGGGATGATAACTAGAGGCAGTCTTGTGAGTTGTGCCGGAGGCCTGAAGAAGTTCGTTCACTAGTTGTGAAAGGAAGGCCCTTCCACGGTCGCTGAGCAACACACGTGGAGCACCATGACGCAGTATAATGGCTCGGAGGATGAAATCGGCAATCTCAGAAGCTGAACCTGTAGTAACGGATGCCGTCTCGGCGTAGCGCGTCAAATGGTCAATGGCTGTTACTATCCACCGGTTTCCAGCAGCACTGACTGGGAGGGGGCCATAAAGATCGACGCCTACAACTTCGAATGGTGTGGCTGGGCACGGAAGAGGCTGTAGTTTACCGGCGGGAGCAGATGTTGGTAGTTTTCTACATTGGCAGGTAGTGCAGGACCCGACGTACCGAGCTACGCTAGTGGTAATGCCTGGCCAATAAAACCGACTTCGAAGGCGATCGTAGGTTTTATGGTAACCAAGGTGACCAGCAGTCGGATGGTCATGAAGTGCCCTGAGGACTTCGGACCGAAGCGATTGGGGTAGAACGGGAACCCAGCGCTGACCGTCAGGATGGTAAATTTTGCGGTACAGCACCCAGTTGTCCAGCTTAAATTGCGAGAGCTGGCGACGGAGCCTTGCATTAGGTGGACGGGAACTTCCAGTGAGGTAGTCTATAATACGTCGACAGTATGGGTCAGCCCACTGTCGAGAAGGAAAATCGTGCGAGTCGTCCGAAGGCAGCTGGTCCATAGAGGCGAGAGAGGAAACCGCCGTAGACGTGGACTCCGAGGGCGTGTTGTGCAAATTGACGGCTGAAACCCCGAGTGGAGTCGCTGGTAGTGGGCAGCGAGAAAGAGCATCGGCGTCACTATGCTTCCTGCCACACTTGTACACGATCTCAAAATCATATTCTTGGAGGCGTAGAATCCAGCGTCCGAGGCGTCCCGACAAGTTCTTGAGTGTCGAAAGCCAACATAAAGCATGGTGGTCGGTCACAATGGTGAAATGGCGGCCATTCAGTTATGGACGAAATTTCTGTACTGACCAAACGATGGCGAGGCACTCCTGCTCGGTGATCGTGTAGTTCCTCTCGGCTGCGGAGAGGACGCGGCTGGCGTATGCAACGACTTGCTCTCGCGAAGAGTTGTCGCGTTGCAGGAGCACGGCTCCTAAACCGCGGCCGCTAGCGTCTGTGTGCAGGAAGGTCGGTGCATCATCGTGAAAATGAGCAAGTACAGGGTCGGTCGTGAGGGCACTCTTCAACCTGTCGAAAGCTGATTCACATTCCTGAGACCACTGGAAGGGCATACCGGAAGCAAGTAGCTTATGAAGTGGTGCGGCTATGGAGGCAAAGTTTTGTATGAATCGCCGAAAGTAAGAGGCGAGACCAAGGAAACTTCGCAAATCTTTTGGTTTGTCAGGGCGAGGGAAGCGAAGCACTGCAGCAGTTTTATCAGGGTCTGGGCGAATTCCGTCCTTGCTCACAATATGACCGAGTACCTTGATAGATCTGCTGGCGAAATGGCACTTTTTGGTGTTCATTTGAAGACCAGCGCCCGCAAGACAAGTCAGGACCTCGTCCAAGCGTTGCAGATGTTGAGAAAACGTCGATGAAAAGACAACAATGTCATCGAGGTAACATAGGCAAGTCTTCCATTTCAGGCCACGCAGCACGGTGTCAATCATGCGCTCAAAAGTTGCGGGCGCATTGCATAGACCGAACGGCATAACATTGAATTCGTATAGGCCGTCCGGCGTTGCAAACGCAGTTTTTTCTTTATCATCTTCGTGCATGAGGATTTGCCAATAGCCTGAACGCAAGTCGAGGCTCGAAAAGTATTCAGCACCCTGTAAGGAATCTAGGGCGTCGTCGATGCGTGGCATGGGGTATACGTCCTTTCTAGTGATCTTATTAAGTGCTCGGTAATTGACGCAAAATCGTACGGAACCGTCTTTTTTACGCACCAAAACCACTGGAGACGACCAAGGACTGGTTGAGGGTCGGATTATCTCCCGTTGCAGCATATCGTCTACGTTTTCCTCAATGATTTTTCGTTCGGCTAGGGAGACGCGGTACGGACGACGATGCACAATGGATGTTCCGTCGGTCTGAATACGATGTGCTGTAGCAGTTGTCG